CACAAAGGACTTTAAAATAAACATATTTAAAAGAGTGTAATTGTTTAAAAAAAAAAAAAAAGAGCAGACAAGATTTCCACTGCCCATGGGTAGGGGAAATAAGTCACTGTAAACAAAAATTCAGGTCAGAATAATGAATATGTTAGTAATCTATGATCAATCAATAACTTTCTCCTTGACATTCTAAAATAATATAAATGTGCTGAATTTATTAGTAGTATGTCAAAGAGCTCACATGTTCTCAACTTTAAGTGTTTTAAACAGCATTAAAGATTAGGTGTCAGCCAGACAGCTCAGAGGACTAAAGTGCCTGCTTAGGCAGAGCGCAGCAGCTGGGACTTGATCCCCGGTGCACTGCCATTAAGACTGGCCATGGTGGCCTGAGCCTATAATCCTAGTGCTTGGGAGGCTGAAAATAGGAGAGTCACTACAAGTCCAATCTCCATAATGAGACCCTGTAGACTCTGTACTAAATACATTAAAATAAATAAATAAATAAATATAGCCATCATATATTCTTTTGCTTCTAATGCATGAGTACTCTTTTTCAAAAAGTAGGGTCTCAGGCTGAGGAGATAGCTAAGTGGTATAAGCACTTGTCTCGTAAGCACAGGGTCCTGAGTTCGATCTCTGTTACTTTTAAAAGAAAAAAAATGAGTTTCATTTCCTTTTTAAGTCTTCACTGGCCTTAGTGATTTGCCTGAGAAACAGAATCTAACAAACAATGACTTTCTGGTCTTGCCAAGGCTAAGTCTTAAAACCTGGTACGATATATGTGTCCAGAGGATTTGCAGGTTAGCCTAGTTGTTTAAAGTGCCTGTTTGAGCAAACTCAGTCATGTGCAGGGGACCACGGTTCGATTCTCACTTCCACAAGCTGCACCAGACCCGCCTGCAACATGGCCTGAGCCAGCCAAAAAGAAAAAGATATTACATCCCAATGAGAATCTCACTTTGGAGGAAGACAATAGCAATAAACAAAGAATGACAACCCAACACTGACATGCTGTGATGATCCAAGATACTATATACAAAAGTGAACCTGGGTGTCCAGTCTGACTCCAGTTAGTACTATAGCCTTCATCTAATTATAAAATTATGAAGGCACCTCAAATAAGAAGCACCTAGCCAAAGTGAGGAGATAGCTCGGTGGCCTAAGTGCCTGCCTTGCAAGTGCAAGTCCTTGAGTTCAATACCTGGTACCACATGCTGTGCCAGAACCAGAACCCCAGACATGTCATGCCGGCCACCTACAATCTCAGCACTAGGATAATGCACACCTGTAATCCCAGCACTAGAGAGGCTGAGACAGGAGGATCACTACATGTCCAGGCTGTTAGTGAGACCCTGTACCAAATAAACAAACAAACAATATGTAACTAGAAGCCTTCATGTCCATGAACCAGTTATGTTGCATGTAACATATTCATTTCCCTGAAAAGCTGATCTGAATTTTCATCATATTCTCAAAGGAGACTATGAAAGCAAAACATTGTTAAGAATGACTGAATTAAATACTCTATAAAGTTGCAGAATTGGGAGAAAATCTGGAGATCATAAAATCAAATTCTCCTATCAAAAACAGGTAAATCTATAAAGAATGAAAGTAGATAGTAGATGCCTAGGCCTAGAAAGAAGACACTGAAAGGTGGCTGCTGAAAGTTTCGGGTGATATGAACACCTAAATGGACTGTGGTGATAACTGCACAACACAGACTCGAATATTACAAAAAGGTTAACTGTGTATCAGTCTATTTCAGTATAGCTATTACATTCTTTCCCCATAATCCAACTTCCTATGCAATCTCCATTAAAACAACTACAGGTCTCATCTTTGTTGACAACTTTCCCATAGAAGGGAACCTTGGAGGCAGTTGGTGGAGTTCAGAGGAGCCAAATGAAAATGTACTAAAGATGAGAGTCATTTTTCTTGTTATTTATAAATGGTAAAGAAGTCTGTGTTGGACTGCAACTGTAGGAATTAATTTGAATTCATGGTTCTAAATGAAAATACAGAAACAGATACAGAGGTCTATATTACCTATGTGGTGGGTCTCTCGTGTGTGTGTGTGTATATCCTATCCCTGTTCACTAGCAGTTTTAAAGACAGACTATTCTGGTAACAAGAAGCACTCAGTACCCAGATCTGAGATTTTAAATGCCATATTCACTTTTCAGAACCAGATTCCCTAAAGGAAATAATTTATTCCAAAAGTGGGGCAGGCGAAATAATTTGGAACATTTGTGTACCCCGCCAAAATAAGACAATATTCATAGAATGACAGAATCTCAACAAAAGTACACAGTCTAGGAGCCGAAGAGATAGCTCAGTAGAATAAGCACTTGCCTGGCAAGCACAGGGTCCTGAGTTCAATCCCTGGTACCACAAAAAAAAAAAGTAAAAAAATAAAATAAAATACACAGTCTGGTTTAAAAGAACCCTAAACGGCCAGCTATATGAACAGTTTGAATATTAAAATGCAGGACAGTTAGATTACAATCCCATGGAATAAAATATGAACCCTGTTATCCAAATAGATATGTATAAATAAAAAAAGTTATGAATACATAAGGGTGAAACTATTTCTTCAGTAGATTGCCATCCAATTAATACAGAACAAATTAAGAGAAAATAACTTACTACCATCATTAATGACTGATTACTCAAGAGGGAGTCTTCAACAGATGCTAAGGTTGGTGAAGTGAGGTTTGATAAAGAATAGATTATACTTCTGAAACAGTATCAGAATATCACTTGACAAGAATTCAAGAGAAAAGTGGTATGTATTTATTCATTCAGTGATACCGGCAATTAAACCAAGTCTTCTAAATGTGGGGTTTTTGTCGTTGTTTGTTTTCTTTAAAAAGGTCAAGGTTAGGTTCCTTAGGAGAAGACCAAGGAAATGTTCCACAACGAAGAAAATGAAAGGTTAAATGCCATCTATGATTGAGGACTGGATCTTGAATCACAGAAGTAAAGAAATTGCTGGTGAGATTTAAATGGACTCCAAATGGGTACTAGTGTTCTCAAAAGAGAATGGTCATGATGTCCTTGCCTTGTAGAAAAACTTTTTCAGAGTATTTAACAGAATTAAACATAATAACTGTAACTTGTTCTCAAATAGTTCAGAGAAAGATGAATAATAAACATGCAACTATAAAGAGACTAGACTAGGGGAAACAGAACATTTGTGGAACCTGAACGATGAGGATACTGGAGTTCTGTGTATGTTTCAAACAATTAAAAAATAATTTTTTTAGCCAGATGTGGTGGTGTATGCATGTACTCTTAGCACTCAGGAGGTTTATGCAGGAAAATCACAAGTTCAAAGCCAGCCTGGGCTACACAGTGAGTTCAAGACTCGCCTGAAATAGTAAAACCCTTTCTCAAAACATAGTAATTTTTAAAAGCAATCAACACCAATTCCTAAGCGCAAGAGCCTGAGTTCAATCCCCGGTTCTGCCAAAAAAACAAAACACCAATTCCTGAATTTCAAGATTAAAGAATTCTACTAGGCTTGAAGATGACAGAAAACAAGTTACCTATAAAGGAAAAAAGTAGACAGACTTCCAATTTTAACTCATATGCATTATGTATATTGAAGCAAAAAAGGACTTTTTTTTTTTGTATTTTAGGGAAGGGTCTACAGGGTGTTCAGGGTCTCACTACTAGATCATATTCGTAGTGATCTGCCTGTTTACAGCCTCCCAAGAGCTGGGATTACAAGCACGCACCACCATGCCCAGTCTCAATTGCCTGCTCGGAGCACCTCAGGGGTGGGGCCAGCACAGCAGGCCCAAGGCCCCTGCACCTGCAGGAGCTTAATCTGCTGAGCTATTCCGCCAGCCTTTGAAGCAAAAAAGGAAAAGAGATCATGGCTCAACATTATTTTCTATTGAATAATGTTCTCTTGTATTAAAAAGATTGCTAGCACATGAGAATATCTACTAACCTTAAAAAGAAGTAATACATATTTGATGACAGGAAATGTATACATGACATTTATTAAGTAAAAAAAACCCCAGCAATTTAGTTGTACTATTTCTAAGCCATTTTCAGGCCTTTTAATAAAAGGTGAAAAACATAAAACCAACCAAAAAAAGTGAAGGTCATATTATTTGGTGAGACTGACTACAGAATAAAAAACAATTATTGGAATAAGAACAATTTGAACAAAGCAGGAGCGCTGCAATGTACACAAGAAAAATTATTTATTTATTTAATGTATTTGGTACAGGGTCTCACTACACAAGAAAAATTAAATGCCAGCAAAACCAAATGGACAGGGCCGGGGAGATGGCTCAGTAGGATAAGCGCTTGCCTGGCAAACGCAAGGATCTGAGTTCAATCCCCAGTTCCACCAAAAAAAAACAAAAACAAAAAAAAAAAAACAAATGGACAACAGCAGTAGACTTTACTTGAACTCTAGCAATCCTTAACAAAAGTCAAAAGGAGGGAATCCAATTGCAATAATATTAAGCTTAGCATGTCCAAATGTGCTCCTACCCTAATAGTCTCCAAATTAGGAAATGACAATGCCACTTCCTATAGGTGTTATCCCTGGCACCTCTTTCTCCTATACTCCACAAATCCTAAAACTCATCATTTTATTCTCTCCATCTTTTACTGTTAGCAACCTGTTTCAGGCTACTAACTCTCACTACAATTATTCCTAAATCTCACCTAATAATCTCTTTGCTTCCAAATCTCCCTTGATCTCTCAACACCAGCAGTAGCTATACTCCACTCTAGCAGTAGCTACAGAATTCTGTTAACACAAGTTAGACTGTTTCTTATCTTTGCTCAAAATCCCCTAATGGGTTTCTATGTCTCTTACAAAGTCAAAACTCCTTAAAGAGCCTCTGAATCCTGTACTTCTGTGACATCTTCTGGTACTCTCCCTGTCTTCCTCTGCTCAAGGGCTGGGCCATTTGGTATTCTTTGACCAGGACAGATTATTACCACATCAGAACCTTTTCCTGTAATCTTTCCTCCAGGACTCTTTATTTACTCAAACAACTACTGGTTTGTTTTCACATGGCTAGTTCATATCTTCTCTCAAATGATCAACTCTCTATTGAGGCTCCCTTGCCCATCAACCAGAATATATAGCCTCCAATTTCTTCCTTCAATTTCATTCTGTCTTCCTATGCTTGACATTCAACAGATCAAAAACTATGCTCTCTTTAAACTATATGCTATCCAGCTCCTACCAGAAAGCAAGCTCTAGGAAAGGCACAATATTTTGCCACATTTACCCAATGTCATATAACTAAGCCCTAAAGAATGCATAACAGTAATCGAAAATATTCCACAAGTATTTAACAATTCTATAAATATTCAAACAAAAAATATTCACATATATGATCAACAAAATAACAAGTAGGTATACATTTTCTAAATATAAAATATTCTCTTTTTGGGGGCCAGGGAAATAGCTCAGTGGAGTAAGTGCTTGCCTGGCAAGCACAAGGTCCTGAGTTCAATCCCTGGTACTGAAAAAAAAATTTCTCTTTTTGGGTTCAATCCCCAGCACTATATGCTGCATCAGACCCACCGCCAGCCCAGGAACTGAGCATGGGGGTGCATGCCTGTAATCACTGTGCTGAGGAAGCTAAAAATAGGAAGTTCACTATGAGTCCAAACTGCATAGTGAGAACCTATCTCAAATTACATTAAAAAATAAATTTAAAAATTTATATATTCTTTTTAAAAATATTTATGGAAAAATTATAATTTTTTTATCTTTTATTTGGTACAGGGTCTTGCTACACAGCTCAGACTCAAGGTGATCCTCCTGTCTCAGCTTCCTCATCACTAGGATCACAGGCGTGCACCACCATATGGTGTCAGGGCCCACATGCAGACACAGCCTGAGGTACTGGGGATCAAACTTGGGTTCTTGCACTTGCCAGGAAGGCACTTATGCCAAGCTATCTCCCCAGCCCAATGGAAAAATGATAAAAGCTAAGCTTATACTTGAATATACACACACTTTTATTACATTCAAGCAATAAAAAATAGACACAACATTCTTCATAACAATAAAATGAAACAGAAAACATTAAGAACAAAACAACTTCTTAGGATAATAGCTGACACTGGGAATTTAATATATACCAAATATGTTGACCTGTAAGATTGGAATTGATACTCCCATTTTACAGATAAGGAACCTAAAGTTTAAAACATTTCTTGACGTAAGATAGCTGCTAATAAATGCAGACCTGCATTCAATACCAGGACCCTGATGCTGAACACTGAAATCCTGCCTATGTACTCTAACCTCTGCCTATGTACTCTAACCTCTGTAAAAGCATAGTGCAAAAAACACTACATAGTGAAAAAAAAAAAAGCCAAAATTGTTCTAGAAAAGTCACTGCCTCTTCTCTACAAAATTATTAATAAAGTAATATTAATATAATATATAATATTTATACTGATAAGTAGAAAAATACTAAAATTTAAACTCATGCGAAAAGACAACTAAAAAGAGGAAAAGAATTAAAGAACCAAAGAAAGAAAAAAGCAACACTACTACAGCTTATATGTAAGTTCACATTCTTTAAGGGCATAAAAAAATTAAGAAACTCTAAGTGAACTGTTGTAATTTCAGCATGGAAAGTTTCAAAACTATTCAAAACAAGAGAAAAACATAATGAACTCAACACATGTATCACTCAACCATAAAGACTGTTAATCTTGCTTCATTTATCCCTTCATTAACAACATTTTGAAATCCTGGAAGAGCTACCTTGAGCACCAATATTTATTTATGCTACACTTAGAAGAAAACTGTCATTTTTCTTTCTCTCTTTCGCTTACAAATCTGTTTAGTAAGCTGAGGAGTACACATTTGCCATCAGTGAAAGTTAAAAAAAAACAAAAAAAACCCCACCAAAAACAACATACCTTACTGCACACCCATAATACCATAAAAATCAAGACAGTAGAAAATAAACAGCAACTTACCTAAACTTTCCTGAACCTCATTATTCACATTAGAATTATTCTCTCCAGACATTAAATAATTCTTGAGCCTAGAAGGTCCACTTGAGAGAAAAAAAAAATTGTTTTTATAATATCCATATCTTATGTACCTAAACTGAAGGATCATTTTTTTCCTAATCTGTCATAGTTTTCTTTCTTCTAAAACCAACAGTGATGGGGCTGGAGAGATGGCTCAGTGGTCTGGAGCACCTACTTAGAACAAGCTTGGCAAAGCATCAGGGACCGCGGTTCGATCCCCCAGCACCACATGCCAGCCAGCCCCGCCCCCTGGTGGGCTG